CCGGCCCGAGCGTTTTTTGATTTGGAAGCAAACCAGATACATTTGAAATCGAGTCTTATGAATATTTCGTTCTCGGAAATTGTAACAATTTAAGGCTTTCCTGGATCCTCAGTATTAACATCTCAAGGTATGATTTTTTCATGAGTATACGCCAAAGTAACCAAAAGAATATCATGGGTCATGGGGATAAATTCTCTTGGTTCATATTCTCTTGTTTTAACCCATCCACTCATTTCTACCTCTACGTTAATTTAATGGGTCATCCCCATTTTATGGAACTCAGAATAAAAATCGCCCATCAACACAGCTGCGATATGTTTTATGCCAAAAAAACCATAAATAAACAAATGAATAAATAAATAAAAAGCCCTAAAAAGAAAGTTAATATCCGTTATAACTGACTGTTGACTGTGTCGTTGCTGAATATTGGCACCTTTCTCACCGTTGTCCTCTCCCCCTCCCACCGGGGCTTCTCAGTCCACTTTGCTTATTGTGGAGAATGTAAATGCGCAAACAAATACATCAAATAAAGCATGGATATTTGCCAAAATTCCAGCTGGTAGGGGTATAAACAAGCTGGTTGTTTTGTTTAAAATGTGCACCTCAGGGTGAGGAGTTGACGTTGTGCCAACCTCTGAGAAACTTAATTAACTCGAAGGCTCAAGAATATATTTCTGGCACTCCTGCCTCTACAAACATCTTCAAATCTATTTGATTTAAAAAAAGCAAACGTTTCTCTTTTTTGAAGTAGAAGAACGCGATAAGCTATACAAGGAAATTCAAAACTTAATTTCCCGTAAAATTCTGCCTCCTCCTCCTCCTTCTTTCTTCTTCTTCTTCTTCTTCTTCTTCTTCTTCTTCAGCCTATTCTCCTTCCTCACTAGGTGCGGCTAAAAAATCTTAATTCAATAGTTGTGGTAGGTTCTACTTGATTGCACGGGACTTGATTAGCCCTCAATTCTGTGGAAAAGCAGCTGACCAGGTTCTTTAGCCCTTGACGATAATTTCCACTAAAAACGAAACAAATGCAAGGGTTCACAGCACTGTTTGAAAGAGCCAAAAGAGTGCTAGCGAGGAGGAAGCGATGCCACCCGCAAGAAGGTACGATCTGTACGTATTTTACGACAATTCTGAAGATACTCAAGGGCAACAGACATATTGCAAACGCCAGCACGATAGCAACGGACATCTTTAGTACTTTTCTTTCTCTCTTTCTGTGTTGATCACCACCGTTGATGGATCTTTCGCCGGGCACGTTCTGTCGTCTGAGTTTGAAATAGATAACTATGTATACTATAGCTATCAAAACCAAAGGAATACAGCGTAAAAGGATCAGAACTACCGTTTCGTAAGTAAAGGACACGAAAACTTCGTTTAAGACCTCACTAAAAAGAGTCGCACAAATGAGTTTGCCATGACGATTCATAACCAGGTGGCTCCCAAGAAAATAAGGGGAGTAGATACCGAGTGAGATGATCCAAGTAGTAACAATGAAGAAAGAGCACAACTTTGAAGTCATGAGTGGAGGTCGAAGAGGAAATACCACAGCTCCAAATCGATCCACTGCTATAAGAACTAAGCTCTGAACTGACACAGAGGCAGAAACGTAAATCAAGAACTCGACTAGCTTGCACGAAACCTCGCCGAATAGTCCAACCCCTAGCCAGGTTTCGGCGTACACTCCTACCAGGTTTGGCGGAACTACGAAAATCGCATAAAGCAGATCAGACATGGCCATGTTTACGATTAAAAAGTTAATGGGTTTCCTCATGGCTCGAGACTTGAACACGATAATGGCTATGGAACTATTTCCCGCCAATGAGAAAACGAAAATCCCGCAGTAAACCAGTGTTAGCGAGACTTTTTTCGCTATAGGATTGAAGCAGAGTACGTGCAGGTGTGTTCCATTCATCGATGTGTTTAAGTTTCTAGACATCTTGTGATTCAATATTATAGAGTTCTATAGCAGCCTAAGCAAGCTTCTTTCTCTCTGGCAGTTGTGCAGAAAGGTTTGGGTTTGTAACGTTAGGGTGGAATATTCGTGATCTATGATTGTGCTGCGCACGAAAATTAATAATGTACAACTCGATGGAACTGTAAATGAGGGCAGGTGTCCAAACAGCGGACACAACTGAATTTCTTACCTTACAAGCTCCTAAAGCTAAAATTTGTTTGAAAGTAAATAATGAAAAAATGACATCGTTAAATTTTCAAAAGTTTTACAGCACCTCCGTGAAAAAAGGTATTTTTTCAATTAATACAACTGGTGTATTTTTTAAAATACAACTGTTCAAGAAAACACAATTGTCTTTTGATCATGTATTACGCTAGGTCTCAAAACATCAGATTTTAAGAATACGTTACGGCGGTTTGTATTATTGCGGTAAGTTTTCTGGCAACTCGACAAATTAGCTGGTGTATATATTCATGTAGCATAATGGCCAAGTATTGATTTCTTTAAAAGCGGTTGTCACTTTGTTTTTACAAGCTGCAAACTGTCGGTAATTAGCCAGCATTTGTCACGAACTCATTGCCCGTGAAACTTGGTTTGTCTTCAAATAAAAATATTCTAGTGGAAGGAAGAATAAAGAAAACCGATGAAAAGAATTTATCTATGATTAAAAGTATATTTCCTCGAGCTCAGCCAATCAATATAAAAAAGAATGGTGGGCGAAACCTTTCCGATTTTTTTGGGGATTGTCACTGATTTTTACCCCTGTTGCATCATGCAGACATTTCGATCTACATGAAGCACATAAGTTTCATTTCATCGAACGTTACAACAAAAACTTCTTCATCATTATCATTGTTATTTTATTTTTTTTTTTTTTTGGGCATGTTTATTAAAAAAAATGAAGAAAATTGATTAGTTATTTAAACAGCCGGAGTAAACCGATCTTATCGCCATATGTCGCCATGCAATATATAAACCTGTCTAATATACATATAAATGGTGATTGTGCTAAACGCATTTTAAGGAAAAACTCTTTATCACCATCGATCAACGAACAAATGGTGGAAAAAAAATTAATTAAAATTAGTCCAAAATTTGTAAACTCGCCGCCAGGCCAAGGTCTTCCCAAAATACGCGTTCTCGGCCCAGTCTCATATTTGCCAACAATCGTTGACTTGGCAACGGTTAGCAAACTCAGGGACCACAACCGAAGGAACAATTTCGAGCAAGATGGCGTCGAGAATCATGCATGGTCGGCGAGAGGGTCAAACAAGAGGTAATTTCTCGAAGCTAGCTCGTATTCTTGTACTGAATTTGTGACTTAACATGTGTTATATCTTTAAACTACATAGAATTTGGTGGAGCGAAAGTTAGCGTCATTCCTGAAGGAGTTGACCCGCGTGAGGTGAGCGTGTTTTCATTATAATTTTGAGATACTTTCCCCGAACTTTAGCGTCGGCCTATAACAGTACATGGGAGAAAAATTGTGCAACTTTGTAATTATAGGTAACAGTTCTCCAGCCCGATTCGTGGAGGCGCATCCAGAACAGCCTTTCGCGATATAACGAGGAGCAAATGCGACTGGAAGCGAAGAGGAAAGAAAGAGAGGACCTCCACGCCATTTCTAAAGAATCAGTAAAACACTGGGAAAATACCATAGAGGTACGGTTTTAATTCTCTATCATAATTTTCATTTTCCCAATAAAAGCTTTATTCAGGGTAAGTGAAGTTTAGTTGTTTGTGTGCGTATAAACACAGATTTGAGGTGATGGTCACGATTATGTTATGTTGCTATGTTCACGTAATCACCAAACGACATTTTTCCGAGGGGAATGTTCATGCTTCTTTACTAGACTTCACGCCGTACTTCTGAGCATACTTATTATACTTTGAAAGAGGATATAATGCTCTTTTTATAGCCAGTATTCGTGGATATTTTGCCATAAATAACACAAACTCCATTGCAACATATACATGTAGATTTCCACTAAATCGACTTATTTAACATGCACGTAGATGCACAAGAATCTCGTTTAATGATCATTCCCTTTCAAAACTTGCCGATAAAAAGTGGTATGAATACTGCATTTCGGTGATGTCTAAATATAAATTGGCTAATTTTTACAGGGTCAGAGACTGAAGAAGCTAGAAGCACGACAATTACGAGAAGAAAAGGAGGAGGTGAGATAAACAGAATTAAATATTAGGTGTAATAATCGCCTGTTTTCAAAGTTTTCCCAAAATTGCCTGAGTTGCTTTAGTGACTTGGGAAATTTTGGGAAAACTTTGAAATCAATAAATTGTTGCTTAAACAACAAAAAGGCTAGTGCTTAATCATTACCAAGTAATCACGCCCTCTTGATCACCTATAGTGCCCTCGTTATTAAGAAAAAAACTCCCTCTGTCTCAGTCAGTCACCATTTAGTAATTTTGCCCCTGTGTGTCGTAAATGCAGCAAATGTAAGAGAATACTATATGATACTGTTTGCACACTGTGTAAATCAGTTAGTGCAAAGCTGTTAACTATGAAGTTGAGAGAAATGAAGAGGACCTCAGCCTCATTACAGATTTTTTCCTTTGGCAGGAGGAAAAAGTCAAGATTGACAAAGAAGAAGCAAAACATCAGGCCCAAAAAAGAAAGGAAGCCATTGAGAGAGCAAAGACTTTGCAATATTATCAGACTGACAGAGTAAAGACATTCCATGTAAGAAATGTCATATGTCAGATGCTGCAGAAAAACCTTCTTTATAACATAATTGAGACACAAATTCATTGGGCCAGCATACAAACATATGAATAACCTGTTTCAGGAAGTTTTCATTTTCCTGCTCTCAAGAACCATGTTTTTATATACATGTATGTATGCTTTCGAATACAGATGACATATTTTAGTCCTAAAGGCTGTCTGAACCTTGGATATGGTGCACACCTCCTTTAATTTAAATGGGGTCTTGAACTGGAGAGATGTTTCATAGCTTAATCTGCTAGTGTCAAATATAATAATTGTTAAGAAGTTTGCTTAACTAGATCAATACCGTTGCAAGACTTCTATATAAAGTACATGCTTGTTCTATTTTCAATCCCTGATTGTTTTGAGTGAGCCAATGCTGGGCACCAAATTTTCATTATTCTGGGTTGTTGCCCTGGCTGATACTTTATTTGTTCTAAAGTTTTTTTTTCTTTTGTGGTTCCCCTCTTAATAGGGTGCCCTCCTTCTAACAGAGGTTCTTAAAGAGAGAGATGCCCAGATTGATATGAAAAATGGCCAGCTTAATGCTGATAAGATTAGAGAGAATCATCTTTTAAGACTTCAGCAGAGGGTAAGTCATGAGGGATAATATTTTCACAAAGGTCTGCGTGTGCCGAAAAATTTGTGATAAACCCTCAGAATAAACTGTACCTGTTGTCCTAATGATTTTGTGGTGTGAATTTAAGTGTTTGATTAAATGTATACAACTGCACAAGTACAACATTCATCCTTTAGATGTAATTTAAGTCTGTAGCCTGTTAATGAAAATATTGGGGAAAGTTCTTGTATCTTCACTTGGTTAATCATAACCTTTACAATTTCCTCACATGTGATTGGTACATCAGCTGCTTTATATATCACTAATCACTCTGTACAGTTATAATCAGAAAGTGTAATCTGACAGTTGGCTGTAATCTGACACCTGTAATCGGACAGTTCAAGTAGCCAATCATGCTAAGTCCACTCAGCTAATTCCACCAATCATAGAATTAATCCCAATAACCATAGCAACAACCACTTATCCAAAGAAAAACTAGGCAATTTACAAAATGGAGGAATTTTTAGCTAGATACATTGTCAGGTGTATTTGTTTTTTTGGGGAATTGAAATGGTTATGATTAATTGGTAACAGGATTTCTTGTTGTCCAATTCTGTCTGTAATCACACAAATCGGACTCCTGCTTGGTGGTTGTCCAATTTTATTAATCACTCGTATGATTACGGACTAAATTGGACTCCATTCATTCCTTATTAGTAACATTACAAGATGTACAATGAGCATTGCTGTTTATTTTTTTTCCTTTTTTAATTACAGGCATTTTTTTGTACAGTGTATGTTTGGTCAATTTATTTTGAAGCCTGCTTTGGGTTTAACACAGGTTTTTTTCCTTTTCTTCCTTCTTCATCCACTTACAGCAACGTGAGGAAGCCATTATGGAAGACCAAAAGAGGGCTTTAAGGAGATACAATGAGAGAAAAGCAGTAGCAGATTTCCAAAACCTTCAGTAAGTAACTTTACAAATGATAGTTTACTGAGGATAATTATAGATTACTTCATAGAAACTAAAAATTCTCTTATTCAATAGAAAGTGCAGATTCTAAAATTCCTGCTATATTCACAGTTCTAAAAGTGTCAAAAACTATTTTAAGATATTCTGAACAATGTTTCATCAATGTGTACTAAGCACTGTACACTGTTAGTATGTCTTGATCCTGAGTCACTATGTACAGTGATTCATATCTATTACATGTATTTGTACACTGCACATGAAACAGCCACCACCCAAATAACAAGCACCTTCAGAAGAATTATGACTAACTTGTCATTATAAAGTTTACACCAGCTTAAATGTTGTGCTTCGAATCTTTTGTGTTTGGCTTACTAGTTAATGTTTTTCAAACTAATGTCATTTTTATTAATTAAGTAATTTATATGTTAATCGGCATAATATGAGACAAATACTAGACTAGTTTACTAGATGTTAATTTCACATGCTTTTCTTTCTAGAATTCTTGATCACATTGAAGAAGGGAAAAAAGCAAAACAAGTTGATATAGAGGAGGGAGAGAATGTTAAGCAACAAGTTGACATGTACATGGCAGCAAAGAAGACCATTGAAGAACAGAGACGAAAGGTTTGTTTTACCCTTAAACTCCCATTAGTGACTAACATGTAAACTCTCCCTACAATTTTTAAACATCATCCAGCAAAAAAAGTAATGAGAATGCTAGAACTTATTGGGAAGAAGTTGTTATGTTGATCTACATGTAGGACCAAATTCTTGTAACTAATTTACAAGGGATTGTATATCAGCTAAAGAGGAGAATTGACAAACACATCATGGGAGTTAAGGGGTTAAATACATGCATTGCAAATTAAATATCTATATGTTGCAAGAAATGTGTACAGGTACTCTATGTGTACCAGTGCACAACAAAATGTTTTTCTCATCTATTGATGGGCCTTTGGAATCCAATCAAAAGATTCCATGTTGTACTGTATTGCCATTTATAAGAGTTACATGTATCTCAGTAAAAGTTGTCGATTGAGAGTTTGCAGTTACATGTGCATGTACATTGTAAATCTAGTTTTGGTTTTCAGCCTGCATGCATGTAGCTATATGTACCAGACAAGTGTTGCTTGGGAAAGTAATTTTGACACCTTTCGAGAATGTATTTTAAAAGAACTCTACTCAGAACAGATCTGGCTAAGTGGAAGAATTACCTCTTTTTTCAAATACAATATCATTGTTTTATTTCTTTGAATTTAAGGATAAAAAGGAGATTATGGAAGAACATCAGAGGCAGCTGGCTGATAGAGAAGTATGTTTAACTTGATAAAATTAAGGCTGTGCGTGTTTAAAAGGTGACTGCAGTGCAATAATAGTTTTGGATATTCAGCGAAGCATCATGGCTGTTTCAATAGGAATTAAATTTATGAGAGCTGAGATCATCGCTAATACCTTCAGGCTTTTTCTAAAGACTCCATTGAAAGGGACACGTACATATGTAAGCAATTTCTGTTGTTTTTGCTTTACCAGGTTAGGCGTCAGTCAGAGCAGAAAAAAGCCGAAGACGAAGAAGAAGAAATTCGACAATTTGCTCAAGCCAAAAAGGTACTTAAGCCTTAATGAGAAGCTCAGAATTTACCTTTGTTTCTTGTTCTATGTTTTGTTTTAAAAAAAGTAGCACCCTTCGAGTGTTGTAACGCTCCAAACATCAGCTTTTCAAAATACATGCCGTCGTCAACTTTAAGTTGAGGAGGGAAGTATCCTCGGTGTTGCTGTGTTTTGTTAATGTATTGTTTCTCGTCTTTTTAAACTGTAGAAAATGGCAAGGATGCGTAAAGAGAAAGAAAGTGAACTGTTCAGGTAATGTATAGTATGTACAGTGTAAAATTTTAGCAGTTGTACGGAATTTGTTCTCGGTCTAAAAAGATGAACACAAAAATTCCTGTATTTAGTATGCCATTTATCAGTTAACAATTGGTTCATTTGTTTTTTGGAGAATTGCTACGCCTCGAGCAACTCTTACGCATCTTTCGTGCTCTCCAAACTTTCCGCGCGCTTCATATCTCGATGAACGCATAGCTGACGTATGAGCCAATTGATTTATAACATTTTCAACCCGATGAAAATTTTTTTTTCTCGAGGGATGTTTGTTGACGTCATGAGCGTGCACAATAGGAATATGAAGCACGCTCGCGAAATTGAATTTGACTAGACAAATTTACTAGCTATGTTATAATGGTTCTTGTTGATCAATCACTCGTCTGTTTAGCAAGCACAGGTCAAAACACATTCACACTGTTAGTTTTTACATTTGTACCTCGCTTAAGGTTAGCTCATGGGGGGTCCTCTAGATGTTGAAAATCGAAGAAAAATTACTGTATGAGTCGAAATTTTTATTTAACCAGTCGCATTAACTGAAAATTGTGCTCGCTGCATCTTCCCGCAGTTTCTCTAACTTCTTTATGTTTGTTTACAGAGCCTTCCAGGATCACACGGAGAGAATGAGAAAGAAGCTGGCCAACCAGATGCAGCAGCAAGTGGATGATGAAGACGACAGAATAGCGAAGACTGTGGCAGAAAGGGAAAGGAAGCGCGAGGTATAATAACAGTAATTCTCAATTTAGCAATAAAGTAGTCTTCAATCGTGCGCTGAGGGAGCGAAACTGAAACAATTGCGCTGGAGCCAATTTCACATTCGTATGCGCTATTTTTTTGCCGATTTCCTTTTAAAATATTCCTTTCTTCTGATTGGCTGATACGAGAGAGAACGGTTTTCAAGTGAGTGTTGAAAGTATTCCGAGGTTGGTTTGGTTTTGCTTTATTTCGCCTTGGGATTGGTTCAGAAAACTCGCGCCAGGCTCTTCACCGATTGGACTCGATCACTCGCGTTTTCCCTAGCCTCAGAAGTTTTCTTGTTTTTACTGTGAGCCCTTATTTGGCTGATGATGGTATTAATCTGTGTTCGAATTAGCAGCTGTGATTGTTTTGTTTTGTTTTGTTTTTTGTTTAACAATAATGAATTGAATTTTAAATTGAAAGCGAAATAAGAAAAGATTTTAAAAATTTGGAAACGATCGTTGTCTGCTAGCTGTAAATTAATGAGTATTTTTATTATTCTATTTTGCTAGGAGGAAGAGAGACAAAAATACGAGGCTGATATGAAGGCCAAAAAGGAAATTCACGATCAAAGGATCTACATGGTAATCTTAAAACTTAGCGTGTTAGACTGTATATCCTACACAAGGCGCCATAGTTGTGATGTAGCGATTTTGTGTAAGGACGTTATACAATAATTATTTTTTCTTTATTATTTTTTTTTTATGTGGAGCTTGATTGATGCCATGAATTATTCCGTGAAACGTGATTTGAGCTTTTCAAAAATTATTGTTTATAATATCAAATCATGTTTTATTTAAATTAATGAAGATGATGATCGTCTAGATTTGGCATAAACGTGAGGAAAGTTTCAATATTCCTCTTGACGCGTGGAAAGACAAATTAGTTCAAAATGAACTTGTAGGTGATCGAATCTTTCCCAAAAGTATAGGGTACCATTTCAAAAGGTCTGGAAAGGGAGTCACTGAAACAGCTTTCGATGGCGATTAAACCTTTTATTCTCGTATGGTTCTTGTTCGTTAGTTGAAATAATTTTGGGAACAAAAGAATGAGCACGACCCCATAAAAGTATTTCCAACATTTCTTACGCATAACACAACACAGTACAATACATACCGCGAGATAACTTGCTTGCTGCGTTTTTGCACTTGAGAGCAATTCCTGTGAAGAATTCGGTTTTTTCTTGGTACCTAACTGCTCAAGTTATTTCCTAACATCACGCATTCTTCACACGTTCCAGATGAAAGAAAATGAACGCCGGGCCATGGAGGAAGCCAAAAAAGATCGTGAAATACTCCGCAACAGAGTGAAATCTGATAAACTGGTAAGTATAGTATTTCCATGATCAGCATTGCATAGTTTTATATTTCGCGTTATTGGTTGTGACAACTCGCTATTGAAAAGTAACTTTGTAGCTGGCTGCTAGTATATATTTCCCGTGTTGAATATTCAGGAGTTTTCGTTTTCAAGTCGAGAAGGATTAGTCTACCTCTTTTAGCACGGGATTGTTAATTTTTATTCCCGCTGTTATCCTGACATTTATTTTATACAAATGTGATATCAGTTGATCTTTTCTGTTGTTATCTTGTAGTTCCACATGAAACAAGAAGAAAAACGTCTGGAACAGCTGTCCGAATGCAAGAAACTCAAAGAACTTCAAACGCAACAGATTGTGAGTACTTAAGTATCAATTCTTTGTTACATATTAATCATAATTGTTTAGCCAATGAGATAGTTAGAAACACGGTGGTTTTGAAATGCAATCGTTTGTTTCACGATTTAATCGGTTCAGATGTGGATCACAACGTTGCGACTGCAGTAAGACTAGCAGTATGCATTACATTTCTCTTTTGAAAGTGTTATTTACCACGATGACTAACCAAAACCTATCTTACGGTGTTTTTGTAAAGCAAGGTGACTTACTAGGTACTCTAATATCCAATGATACCCTGAGAAGACCACGAAAAGTGTGTAACTGCAATCAGGGACCAATTAAAAAAAAAAAAAAAGTACCAACCAGCTACTAACAAAACAAACTCCTCGTTACGGATTGACGCGAATCGGTTTATTTTTCCGGCAGGGAGTTTCGCGTTTTCCGTATATACGGCAAGAACTACTGATTTATTCCGCATTGTAACGAGTTTTATTCGTTGAAATATTAAAAGCTTCTTTCTTTTTGTCGCCAGGCCGAAGTGAAGGAGCGAGAACAACAAGCCAAGGAAGCGGAACTAGACTTAGACAAACGCAACGGGGAGCTTCTCAGAGAGGAGGAGATTCAATTCCAAGAGTACGCTAACAAGGTCATTACTGAGGCTAGAAACAATGGCCGTAATCCTTACCCACTCATGAAGGCCGCGCAAGAAGGGCCCGGAGGAGGTCGTGGGCCAAAATTTGAAGGCAAACGAGGGCTTCGACCAAGCTACCTTGTGGGGGATGCTTCAGGGGTGCAGTTGCCAAATTACTCCGATGGAACAGTGAAAGGCTCGCACACGAAAATTTACGGCAATCCTGGCGATAGTAGGAAGCGCTTAGGGTTTACCTGGTGAATTGCCTTAAAGCGCGATGAATTTTTACTTGTAAATAGACTTTCTTTCGTGTCTCGGAAATGAACTCTTGCCCACAGAATTTTCAGAATGACTGGATTTCATGAAGTGTCATACACTGGTTGGAAATAAACAAGTTACAAAAGACTTTCAGGTTTCCAGCTTATGATGGAGAGGATGTTTATATGTCGATCCCAGTTTCCTTAATTAAACCAACTTAGTATTTGGAATTTATTGATTGATCCATAAATTAAGGTAGAGGTGGTGATATTAGTGGTAAAATCGTCCCAGGCATTTATTTATCGGACCTCAAGCCAAAGACAGAATGAAAAGGCTCTTTCTTCTCTGAGTCGCTGTTAAGTACGGTGGCTGACGATGACTGTCATTAATGACATCATAGGATTTTTTATTCAGAGATCAGAAACACGACAAAATATTCTGGCAAATAAAAGAGTGCAAATAGAAAAATAAAGATGGTAAATTTTAACTTCGGTTGTCGCGTGAAGCAAGTGCTCGCGTTTTGAAAAACAATCGTTTGTGGAAGGAAATATTACAACCAATGACTATTAAGCATTTTAAGTTGAACAACATTATTTATGCGTTCCCTCTTGATTGGAGACAAAATATCAGACAAAACCCAAACAATTTATTAAATCAAATTAGAAACAATAGTAATGGTTGAGAAAACAAGGCACTGTTATTATCTTTAGAAAACATTTTCGCAAAGCACCCAATATAATGCTCAGCACCACGATGTTTCATGGGGTAACAGTAATCATGATATCAGAGTAAAGTGAAGGGAAGGCTCAAAACATAAACAAAAGAAAAGAAATTCGCCTTCGGCGTTTAAATTTCGTCAATAAGTAGAGAGATGTTAATATATTTTATTGCCGGGAGCATAAACTCCAAGGCTAATTACCTCTGACGCAGAATCGTCGCACGCGATTGGAATATCAAGGAATACTTCTTAAATATCCTGCTAAATGATGACTCGGATCGAACCATGATGGCCTGTATTTCTATGTATGCACGGCTATGTAAACATGCATATCATAACAGTTGCATTCTAGCAAGAGTTCCGGTTGAGGAAACTAGCAAAGAAATAGTCACCAGCGCCCCTGAGTCTTCTTCCGGTATCAGTTACTGGTTGAAACAAACAGCTTTGACTCTCTAACCCCTAAGAGTGATCAGCAACTAATTTCTCGTATCAGTATCCCCCTAAAACAAACATTGAGGTCGAGAGTAAATTTAATAACCACCAACTAAAGAAGCTGTTGGTTGTTCAACAAATTCTCTTTGTCAGCGCTATAGGAAATGTATACTGACCTTAGGGTGTTAAAGATTAAGTTTCCACGAAAGCATTATCATGATTTTTAATGACACGGTTTTTCTGAGAATCGACTGTGCTTTTTAAATAACTGAGTATCATGGCTCGTAAACAGTTTCAGAGAGAAGACAAATTCTCTTTGTCAGTACCACTGGAAATATATAGAGAACATTACGGAGAAAATGCATACTGATCTTAGGGTGAAAGGGTTAAGTTTCCAAGAAAGCATTATCATAATTTATGCTGACATGATTTTTCCGAGAATCGACTGTGTTATTTAAATACCTGGGTATCACATAGCTCGTAAACAGTTTACGAAAGAAGACAAAGCAAGAAGATTCGTGCAATTGGCAAGGAGTAACTCGCGCTTTTGATTCCCGCTCAATTACAATGTAAGTTATATACTATGTATATCTCTCTTCTATTTTTACTATGTACAGAGATAAGGTGAAATATTTCTTTGTGCTGGTATCAAGACTAAAGGTGAAACATTCAGTCGGTAAAACCGTTCCGCACTTATGACCTGAAAAGGGTAATTGGAAAAGTTATCAAACTCTGAAAAGTTATCAAACTCTGAAAAGTTATTAAACTCTGAAAAGTTATCAAAAGACGACAGTTTAATGAAGTTCAAGGGTGGCAGACATAAAATCTCCTATCGGGTACGAAATTGGTTGAAGATAATTCAAGCTAGCCGATGTTAATGTTCTGCAAAATTACCTAGCAAACCGTTTGTGATACAAGGCTTCATTATTGCATTGAGAAAACAGAGTAAAAAACAAAAAGACTTCAACAGATAGACATCTTCAGTATTTACGTATACCCCGCTATTTCAGTTTTCTACAGACGTGTATTTGTGAACAAAGGTTTATTCTTTGTATTGTGCGAAGTGAATAAAGCACATCTCGAATCGTTGAGGAAAATGTGCAAAATATAAACATTTAATAACTATTCTTGTTACCAACTGAATCAAAGTGGGGGTTGTGAGTAACGTTTTCTGAGAAAAAGCTACAAACAGCGGTTTTTTTGTTATCGTAGTGAAAACTAATACAATGGACGATAAAGGCGGTCAGAAATCTGAAGGGAAACCGAAGACAGAGATGGACAAAGAAGCAGCAGCACGTATTCAAAGCGCTGAAGCGAAAAAAAATGATGGTAAAGTTGAAAAAGGAGGCTTTGCCGCGCGCGCTCAGAGTGCGGCAGACAAGAATGAAGCAGCGAAGGAAAAAGAAGGTAAATGAGCCTGCATCAGATAACAAGCCCTGATGATATCATGATTAACAACTAATGATTACGAAACCGGTGTTATAAATCCTTTAAGTATTGTCTTAGTTATGTCTAAACTCTCAGAGTTGAGTGCTAAGGGGCTTTCATATACTATAAATAAATAGGAAGCTAAATCAATTTTCTGAATGACTGAGTGAATCTTATTCTTGTAAATAATAGATCCGGCCCAACCATTCCTTTATGGCTTGTTCGGATGTCTGTCGTGTATTTTTTCTCGCCTGCTACCCCGTCCACTCCTCATTCCCCCACCCCCCAACCCCACATCCTTATCCCCCACCCCCACTTCAACCCCTACCCCCACTCCCCATTCATCTATAGTTCTACCAGTTTTCGACAATAAGACGTTATTATTTCACGAGAGAAGTTGTCCGCCCCTCCCTCCCTGAAAATTGCATTACGGTTCTTGTTATCTTTAGATAGTATTTTCACAAAGCACTAAATATAACGCCCAACACCACGATGTTTCACGAGGTAACAGTAATCATGATATCAGAGTGAAGTTCCCTTTGTCAAAGTGATGGGAAGTCTCAAAAGATAAACGAAAGAAAAGAAATTCGTCTTAGGCGTTTAAACTTCATTATCAAGTAGAGAGATTTGAATATATTTAATTGCCGAGGGCATAAACTCTCTCCTATTTGTACTATATACAGAGATGTGGTGAAATATTTATGAAATTCTTGATATCAAGACCTTCTTCAAAGCTAAAACATTCAGTCTGTAAACCCGTCCCGCACTAATGACTTGAAAAGGGGAATTGGAAAAGTTATCAAACTCTGAAAAGTTATCAAACTTTATTAAAAAAAACAAAATACGACTGTTTAAAGAAGTCCAAGGGTGGTGGACATTCATATCTCATATCGGGTATAAATTGGTTGAAGGTAATTCAGGCAAGAAGATGTTAATGTTATGCAAAGTTACCAAGCAAACCGTGTGTGATTTAAGACTTCATGGTTGCACTAAGAAAACAAGTAAGGAAAGGGGCTTCAATAGATAGACACCTTCAGTAATTACGTATACCCCGCTATTTCAGTATTCTACAGACTAGAAACGTATTTTGTGAACAAAGGTTTATCCTTTGTATTGTGCGAAGCGAATAACGCACATTTTGAATCGTTGAGGAAAATATGCAAGTTATGAACATTTAATAACTATTCTTGTTACCAACTGAACCAAAGTGGGAATTGTGAATAACGTTTTCGGAAAAAAAGATACAAACAGCGGTTTCTTTGTTGTCGTAGTGAAAACTGTTACAATGGACGATAAAGGCGGTCAGAAATCAGAAGGGAAACCGAAGACGGAGATGGACAAAGAAGCAGCAGCACGTATTCAGAGCGCTGAAGCGAAAAAAAATGACGGTAAAGTTGAAAAAGGAACCTTTGCCCCCCGCGCTCAGCGCGCGGCTGACAAGAATGAAGCAGCGGAGGACGAAGAAGGGAAATGAACCTGAATCAGACAACAAGCCCTCATGATATAACGATTAACAATCAATGATTACGAAACTGGTGTTATAATTCCTTTGATCATTGTCTTAGCTGTGTCTAAACTCCTAGAGTTGAGTGCTAAGGGGCTTTCATATACTATTAATAAAACGGAAGTTAGATCAGTTTCCCGAATGATTGAGTGAATTTTATTCCGGTAAATCCCTTTGGAGTTCACCCTCTCAGAATTACTCGAGAGTGGAGATAATGTCGACGAGAATCTTATGAACTTTTTTTTTTTGCGTCTGAGCCAAGTAACGCATCCCAAAATTTGCTTTTAATTGTCCTTTTCAGTCTATCTTTATTTCATTGAGTTATGCTCAAGCACAGCACCGGCTCTTGGAGTCCAACGTAAAAAGAAATATGTAGATACTCAGCAACAGCTGTTAAACATATGATATAAATTGGTCTTAACCTGCTAACAATTGAAAGTCACATGGCATGAATTATGTTGGAATAAAAGAACAAAGAAAGGGAACTTAATTAATAATGCAAGCTTGATGTTTCTTTGTTTTGGATGTCTCGTTGGGCTGTTTGTTTCCTAGCAAGGACGAATTTCTTAAAAGTACCCGCACGTGTTCAAAGCAGCATGCGCTGGCTCTTCCTAGAATTAGGACTGACTCTGCTGAGAGCAATATTTTTATCTAAATGTTAAGTTTAGGCTTCTTTTTTACTGAAAATACGCCAGTTAAACGAAAGGCAGAGCAAACACCAGTATAGCAATAAATCGTTTACGCGCTCGCTTCCGTGTTATCTCACCAATCAAACCAAGTATCTCTACAAGATCATCTTGATATTATATGCTGACATAAGCATTTCTTGGAACTCTCTCGCTTCTATGTTGTCTCACATGTCAATCCAAGCATCTCTCCGAGAAAATCTAAATAAATTATGCTAACGTCATTTTCTCGGAAAACAATTTGTATTTGTCAGACTCGTGGGCAATATTTTATCATTCTACAGATCGAGTCAACTCCTAGGAATATCGTTTTGATTGTCATCGTCATCTTATTTTGACCATTAGTATCATTATTTCGCGCTCACTCGCTTCTTGTCATCTCACTGGTCAAACCAAGTATCTTCTGAGATTATCTCGATAATTTACGCTGACATATAATCATTTTTCGAAACCCTCTTGATTCTTTTTGTCTCACATGTCAATCTTAGCTTCTTTCCGAGAAAACCCATATAAATTATGCAGACGTCATTTTCTCGGAAAACAATTTGTATTTGTGAAAGACTCGTTAACAATATCCTATCATTCTACAGAGGAAAACATTGGCGGAGGGTCTGAGAAAACCAAAGACATACGAGTCTTTTCTACACTCACATAATGTAAGTCAATACTTAGTTGCCTTAATCATTTGCTTTTGCAGTTTCAGTTCGTAACATTCCTCCCAAGAATGCAGTCAAATCCAATGAAAGGAGAACTAGAGGCCGCCGAATGCACTAGTACATAGATGGGATAGCTTCCAAAAATGGTAAACCGTTCAAATTTTTATATCACGCGCCGTCGAGCTTTTCTCGCAATACACACGCAATCTTAAGTTCATTCAGTTTACTAAATTACAATGATCGCATGTCTCTTCGAAAACGAAAGCGCTTTGAAATGCATCTTATGAAAATCTTTAAGATAGCCTTCACTCGCCATCGATCACGGCGATCTTGACGGTGAAAATGAAGTCGTGTCTTCTTCTTGACTGAATCGTACGAAAAATCTAGAGGATCCTTGGTTAAGTTTGTCTATCAAGCCTCTCAGGTACAAAATAGACTTCTTAGAGTAGGAGGAAGGTTTTATTCGATGTTAGTATTGTTGACAATGCATATCAGGATGGATGAGAAACGCGTGGATGTGGACATTTCAAAGGAAAATCTTCGATTTCGAATACTCTTTTATCAAGCGCGCTTTTGATAGTTTTACATCTCTCAACTAAGATAAAAATGAGCAAAGCCTTTTACTATCTGAAGATCGATCCCACAGAGCTGTTTCGTAAGACAACCCTAAAGGTTGAATCGACCTGAAAGTGCTTTGAAATTCATATATTCCACTGCATGATGTCCTTATTTCTTTCCGCCTCAAATAATGATGTGCACACGAAAGACACTCATCGTAAAACCGATCACTACATGACGTTCATTTCTTTCTCTTTTTCCGCCACAAATGAATTTGACTTTAGAAGCAAGAGAACTAAAGAACCATGGACAAGCAAGGAACTCAAAGCTCTGGAGGAAACGCACAGCCCAAAAATCCGATGAATAAAGAAGCGGCGTCAAGGATTCAGAGTTCAGAAGCAAAACAGCACGGCGGTGGGGTTCCTAAAGGAAGCTTTGCTTCGCGCGCTCAGTCTACTGCAGACAAGCGGGAAAACCAGAACAACTAAGCCCGTGGAACTGCTTTTAAACTAAAAGGGAGCATGATTTCGTTTATCATCATTTGTGAGAGACATTTGATCTTTGTTTTTTGAGGGTTGTTATTAAACTATGATTTGAATTTCTTGCTGATTAATCATCATTTACTGGTAGTAATGGTAGTTTGTAGAGCGTCGAAGGAAAACTCGTTTGACGATTTAGGAAAATGATTGAAGTACATCGAAAGCAAATGAAATAAAATGGTACCAACTGGGAGTGAAGGTATTTGATTTTTTCATCTATATATCTTCGAAACACGAGGCCATGTAATGTTCACTATTTTTTCTTAGAATCTCACAGAGCATTCACAGTATTACATAGTTTAATATCGAGTCAACTCCCGGGAATATTGTTTTGATTGTCATCCTCATCTTATTTTGATCATTAGTATCATTATTTTTCTTGTAAAAGCGAGATTCAAGAGATTCACGTCTCATCATCACAGCAAGCCTGTGTTGTTGGTATGTAAGCCAGCTTTGTTTCAAATCCTCAGATTCTTATTCCCTCTTCAATTGCACCCTTTTCTGCCGCTTTTTGTGGTGTTTTCGATTTGAATTTACATGAAGGATGACTAGTTCCATGTCTAGGTTTGTTTTACCCTTGTAATTCCCGTCAAGACATACAGAAGCGTGTCGCCAAGCTGTATATTTAACTGTTGACTATTTTAGCGTCATTACCTCTTCAATTGCATCCTTTCTGTCTCTCTTTGCGATGTTTTCGATTCGAATTTACATGAAGGATGACTAGTTCCATGTCTAGGTTTGTCTTTTCCGTCAGGATATGCAGAAGCGTGTCAGCCAAGCTATATATTCAGCTGTTGACTGATTTTAGCGTCGGTGGGTTATGCGGTTTCATTTCTTTTACTAAAAATACGAAAGTTAAACTAAAGGCAGAGCAAACATCAGCATAGCAATAAATCCTTTACGCGCTCACTCGCTTCTGTGCCATCTCACTGGTCAAACCAAGTATCTTTCTGAGATTATCTTGATAGTTAACGCTGACATAATCATCTCTCGGAGACCTCTCGCTTCTGTGTTGTCTCACATTTCAATCTTTGCTTCTTTCCGAGAAAATCTTGATAAATTATGCTGACGTCATTTTCTCGGAAAACAATTTGTATTAGTAAAAGACTCATCGACATTATCTTACTATTCTACAGAGGAAAACACTGGCGGAGGGTCTGAGGGAACCAAAGACATACGAATCTTTTCTACAGTCCTCTCTGTCACTTTTTGGCCGTGTTTTCGATTTGAATTTACGTGAAGGATGACTAGTTCCAAGTCTAGTTTTACCCTTGTAATTTCCGTCAGAACATGCAGAAGCGTGTCAGCCAAGCTATATATTAGCTGTTGACTGATTTTAGCGTAATTACCTCTTCAATTGCATCCTTTCTGTCTCTTTTTGCGGTGTTTTCGATTCGAATTTACATGAAAGATATGACTAGTTCTATGTCTGGGTTTGTCTTTTCCGTCGGAATATTCACAAGCATGTCAGCCAAGCTATAAATTCAGCTGTTGACTGATTTTAGCGTCGTTGGGTTATGTGGTTTTATTTCTTTTACTAAAAATACGAAAGTTAAACGAAAGGCAGAGCAAGCATCAGCGTAGCAATAAATCCTTTACGCGCTGACTCGCTTCTGTGCCATCTCGCTGGTCAAACCAAGTATCTTTCTGACATTATCTCGATAATTAACGCTGACATAATATCTCTCGGAGACCTCTCGCTTCTGTGTTGTCTCACATGTCAATCTTTGCTTCTTTCCGAGAAAATCTTGATAAATTATGCTGACGTCATTTTCTCGGAAAACAATTTGTATTTGTAAAAGACTCGTCGACCTTATTTTATTATTCCACAGAGGAAAACACTGGCGGAGGGTCTGAGGGAACCAAAGACATACGAATCTACAGTCCTTTCTGTCACTTTTTGGCGGTGTTTTCGATTTGAATTAACGTGAAGGATGACTAGTTCCATGTCTAGGTTTCTCTTACCCTTGTAATTTCCGTCAGAACATGTAGAAGCGTGTCAGCCAAGCTATATATTCAACTGTTTACCAATTTTAGCGTCAGTGAGTGACGCCGTAATAAAGTAATTCTGCCCATAGCCTCGTGTTATTGTGACAGTTAAGGGAGATAAATCTTGATATTTCGAGTCTTTTTTTGCGACAAGGAAAATAAGTGTCAACATCAGTGAGCCAAAACTAAGTAGAGTGGAAGAATGCACTGAAATAACTAGAATGGAAAATTGCGGAGAACATCAATGTGGATTTTCAGTCGTTTGTCTCAAGACATAGAGTCGGTATAGATTGTAGAGTCAAGCTATCAGTTGAAATTAGTGACCTTTTATCTGCAAAACGACTAGCCCTCGCTAAGCGCGTTATAATCACCAAAATAATTTTCAAATTGCAAACTTAAAAAAAAATTTAAAATCAAATCAAGCTTTGTGCACCAGTCGTGACGTTCAGATCCCTCTAAAATGTTTAATCATTCATTTATCTATTTTTTCACCTACTGGGAGGTCAGAATCATAACGCAGAGTGCGGAAACGTGTCTCAGCGAGTCAACTTCATACGCAGTTTTCCAAATTTGTTTATAATAGGAATAAAATGAAGCAAAACAGCCAAAACGTATAGTCACTCCGTGAAAACGTGAAGAACATCTCAATTATCTTTATCGTTAGCTTTGAACTGGAAGTTCGTAATTCCCTGATTGTCGGGTGAAACCAGCGTAACTTCAGCTTTTAGATTTTCCCATGAAGGGTGCTGGGTGATCGCCTGACTCTACGAACTAATTATAAACACTGACCGCGCGAGACTTGATTCAGCTTATGGAAAAGAAGTCTCTCTCTCTCGCTATAATTCCTATCAGTGAAAACAAGCCAAATGAATGAAAGACCCATTTTTTAATAGATCTTCTGTTATCATCAATATTTTAACAAAAAAAGTTATATTGGTTGAAGTGGGCTACGCCATTCCTTTGAAATACATTTATTGATTAAAAAGATCAAGAAACGAGCCAAAAAGCAAACAGAATTCTGACTCAGACAAGCACATAAACAACACTTGACCTTCAAAGTATCAAGTTATAAGTAGCTATCTTGTTCCATAATATCTCCAGGCGTATCCCAAAGCAAACTACATATTTACAACTCTCTCTCATTTTAGTCCATCAGCGTCTCTCTCCTTGTCCTTGTCCTTGTCTCCAAAAGAAAAAAAACTGGTACACACATTCCATGCAAGAAGTAGCATATTTCCGGAAAAAGGAAAAAAAAGTACTAAAAGCGGACTGACTTATAACTAGCGCATATGCCGGATATTTATTTATTTGGAAACCTGAAGATTTACCTCTGTGGTTACAGGTGCTGTTTTTATTTCTCAAAATTCTTTCTTTACTTTTTCATCCCTCTCGTTCTTACCCGATGAAACATGGAATTAAATTAATAAATGAAATGGAAGAACTAAAACGAAGTGAAGAAAAATTGATGAACGATGTGACTAAGAATTGTCAAAATGTTTTTAAACAAACGCTTTTTTGAGTGTTTTATTATATGATGAACAATTAGATCGTTGTTGATCTCTGCCCTTGCGTTCGATTGTTTTAATTAGTTTTAAAAAAAAATTACCCCTTTTTGGAGTCTTCGTTCCTACATTATAGACATTTACGTGTCATCTACACAACAGAACATTGGCCAAATTTTTCGAAAACGAACCGGTAATAACATGGTATAAGACAGGGCGAATAAGCCAAAATTCTGTAGTATTGCGAGAAAACAAAAAAATGCTACACTCAGCTTTTTTTATAACTTTACACAGGAAGTTCGTTATGCTCTTTGATCTCGGGGAAATTCTAACTTCCGTTGGCTATTCCCATGCCAGTCGATCACATTCAAATCATATCCTCGGGACTTTCCCTGAGTAATGATTATTTTACACCCATCATGATCGGAAAATATACGGATATCGTATGCCTTTTTCCCCTAAAGATTAATTCAGGAATTGTAGTGCAAACTGATAAATTATACGAGAAATTATAAGTACTTTAAACTTGCTTGGATTCATAGCTCTCTATTTTCAGTTCCTAAGATGAGTGACGCCAAACTTCTCTCAGTTTATGGAAATCGAAGTCTCCCGATGATTCCTTCTATGGCCAGTAATTCCCGAACTGAATTTTCATAGCCCATAAAATCGTCTAGTAGCAAAGACACCTGTCATGAGTTAGGACCAAAATTATAAATTTGTTTTGAGGGTCGGTTTAATTTACAACATGCTAAAAAATTCCTATAGCTATGTAAACAATGTACGGCACTTTCCACGGTTTACCGGCGTAAGATCCCACGCTGGTTGTTGGGAAAAGACGATAGAAGTTTGTAATCACAAACCGGAGGCCAGCGATTGACAAACTCAATTTTTGAGTGTTATCACATCATCTCGGTTATAACGACGGTTAGCCGATAGAAAGTGCGGTGTATTGCTTTTACAAAATACACTTAAAGCAAAACACAATATTTTTCAATTTTGTGGGAGTTTACGGTGCATTTTACCAATCAGGGTGCACGCGATATCAGTTATTTTATAAAGAATCCTAACAAACACGTACAAGGTCATGACCACAGGGTCTTAACCGGAAGTAAAAAGCACCCGAGAAAACAAAATCCCCTAAGGCCTGGTGTTCTCCCTAACATAAGCCACTGATTTTAATTGGCTCTTTGCTCGGAAAAATATTGCTGACATACTGACAGAAGATGGTGTTATGTTTACTCAGAAACGTATAAAACACTTGCATTTAGCAAGAAAGACACCAGACTGATAGCGTCAGAAATTCAGAGTAAAGTCACATCCTATCAGACCTCAATTTATTTCAGGTAAGCTCGTGCTTTTCTCTATTTAGCATTTAATGTTAACACAGTGGTTAAACTTTGTATTATTAATACTGCATCGAAACAACTGTAAATGAGATGGATAATATATAATTCGTTTCTGGGGAAAAATAAATTTTGATCAAGTTACATTTGTGAATCAATTAAAAAAGAAACAAAATGGCGAAGCTGAGATGTTCAACACACCAGTGCGATCGTCATCGGGATACTCAAACATAGGGCGGTGAAAAGGAATAATATTATAGTAGCATAGCATTATTATGAGAGACCACAATCAAATAAAATATTCGATGCGTGTCAAGAGATTATAGACTGTTTATTTGACAAATAAAGAAGCCTTGACTATGTTCTGTCCTGCTGTAAAGCACGCAGGGAGCGGCTAAAGCACGAAAGAAGTGTAGGGAGAAACACGAGACGTAGTAGAACATTTCTCGCCACTCCTTGAATTTTCTTTTTGTTTCGTTTTCTCGTTTTCTCGGTGAGAATTTTCGTCTCCGCTCACATCATAATAACGTAAATTATGGCGCTTGACATGCTTACAAACCTTTGTTTGGTACTTCTAGATCTGTTGCTACTTGCCCGCTCGCTTGTTACGAAATTTCACTTTCAATTCACTAAAAAAGGCTAGAGAGAAGTCCGGGAAAAGGTCGGACATAGTTCAATTTGGCAGATGGCGTGACAGCTTTAGCTGAGCTCTATGTTTGTACTCTGATAGAGCACGTTCTATCAACCAAAATCTCTCGATGCGTGTTAAATACGAGTACATTCGAGTTTTAGCGCTCACAGTAAAAGAAAAAATGATTCTGTATGTCATAGTCCCAGGATTGCTAAAATTCTTGGCATAGGTGTTCTTAACCAGTGAACATGTTCTATGATAGGAAAAGTGCCCTTGTAGAAAAAAAAAATAAAAAAGAAAGAAAGAAAGACTTGAATGTTCATAAAACTTGATCAGTTGTATTGTTTTTAAACTAGTTCCTAAATCTCTTTGATTCTTTGTCTGTTTAATGGTGACCCGTAAAGCATATCTTATACATCCTGATTGCACTAATTTCCACATTTTTTATTATTATTCTGCAGCAAGGTGCAAGTTTAAGACGTGAAGAATGGATAACAATAGAGGCTCCGCAAACTTGAATGACGAACAAAAAAATTCCTTGGAGAAAGCCACTCCAGCCTGTGTTACTACCCAGAGCAACAAAGAGGCAAAGCTTTATGTGGTACCAGAGCTAAAAACACTAGCTTTGCTCCGCATACTCAATTCCCTGCAAATGAAACAAGAAACAGAGGCCTTGAAAAGTAAAGCCGGAGATGAAAGTAGAAAGTAATGCGTGATGCTCACAACGTTGCTAAATTTTCATTTATCCTCAGTAGCCTCATCATTTGGTTTTCCTACTACTTCAGAGCAACGAACATTGTCGGGGTATAGTTATATATACCAGGATTACTGTCTTAGTCGGGAACTCAATCATGAAAGTCACCACCTACCTACTTTTTCATTTTCTGCCTGTGTAAAGATGCAGCTGGTTGATATTTTATTTTTTAATTTTTATTTTTCTTGCTGTCTTAGTAAGTGTTTAAATTAGCTAGTTGCTAATGACTAGCTCAGGTGTCAATGAACAGACCTGCGTAACAGTGTTTTGTCCATGGAGGAAGGCATAGTTTTGAATAATAATAATTGATAAATACTTTTAAATAAAGTCTGAGATCATTTGAGATGTCTTGTTGTCATGAAAAATGGCATCTTTGCAGAGCCGAGAAGTACACTGATTACAAAGCTGTGAAATAATCTATTCCTTTTTTTTCAAATGTAAAACTAAACTGTCTCTATCATCAATTCCATTACCATCTGTCTTTCACTCCTTTTTAAGGGAACACAAAAATTATCAAGAAACAAATCATCGCCGGCGTAACAATTCAGCGATGGAATAATTCAAAAGATTAAGTTCCAAAGGGAAAAAAATAAAAATTGAAAAAACTAACGATAAAAATCCCTAGGAAGAGAATGAATGAATGTCGCTCCGGTAATTAAATTTTTGGGTGGTGAAATAGACTTTTTGGACTGCTCGCTGGCATCACCTCGAGAGGCAGTTGAAGAGTTATGGTATTATAGAAAATCGTGTTGTTTTCAGATGAAACTTATTCCACGATAAGTTTGTAGCCCTGATGAGCGAAAATATGAAAAGAAAGATTGGAAATGACTTGATGATTTTCCCTAGAAAAGGCAACACAACGCAATTATAGAAATGTATCATTTTTAACAACAAATCGTGACCATTTCAGTTCTCCATTTCTTTCCTGGTTGAAACTTTAAACCAACGTGAAGACTGATGAGGTACCGGCAACGTTGGCTCCAGCAAAACAAGTGGATTTCGTCACATCCGAATCAAACTCCATTTATACCTAAAATTCAACAACATACATTACAAATATAGCTTTCAAAATTTCCTGTTCGTTTATGCAAGTTTACCCGTCATGTATGTAAGATAAACTGATAACAAACAAAGAAACTGCATAAAAAGAGATGTAAAGGGTATTGTGAAGAAACCTTTCGTGGCTAGTAGGTATCTCATGACACGATCTGAGCGGTTTCTCTACCTATGTTCGCTAACAAAATGACAATTATCATCTCCTTATGAACCCAGTTGTTCAAAACGCGGTGCCTAGATGGACAAGGGAAGTGGACGAGAATGAATTTACAAATCCCACTATCAAATAATCAGACCAGATACGCTCACGACTGTACTCCCACAGATTACAGAAGGTCGCCATTCTATGTTCAATCTGTAGCGGCCCAGAGACTACGCCCACTAAGAGATCGACTATCGCCAGATGGATGATCAAATATGTACTCCGCCGCTGTAGCTGACGCTTATTCTTCACAAAGACAACAATAGTGATAATATTAAGGATGGCAATGGCGAGGCATTCGATATATTTTTTTTTTACTGTTTTCAGTTCGAAATTGACTGTTGGTTGTTGTGGAAAGAGGAAAACCGGAGGACTCAGAGAAAATCCTTCAGAGCAAGGACGAGAACCAACAATTAACTATACCCACATATGACGTTTCAGAGGTCCTGTAGGTGAGCGCTCTCACCACTGCGTTTTTGCGTCTCGCGTTTTTGGTTTTTACGAGAATTCCGTTTCCCGTGATTTCAGTATTTTACTTTGATTTTTTTGAGTAATAAACTGAGAGAACTGCTGTTTTCCCCGAGAAGGTTACAGGGCTGGTGTGTATGTGTTAACTCGCGACATCTTAGACTATGGCAGCTCTTGTGGCAAGGTGCTTCCTGATTCAGATTGGGCAAATCAGCTTGACCATGGTTATCAATTTCATCCCGACTTGGTACCAGGACTGTCGTTGACGACAGCAACATAATTTCTCTCCTCCGTCCCCAGTTACCTCGGTCTGAAAGGAGTTACCCAGAGTTACCAGTTGATGGGTAATGCTTCATCTATATATGCTTAAGCTGGGCCTCAGTGACGTCGCTATTGCATAACGGAACTTTTCCTTTACCCATTTCAGTCATCCATTCATATATATACTCTAAAGGCAATAAAGCCTATAGGACAAGATCTTCTCTGGCGAAACAAATACTCGCTGACTGAACATATCAAATTCAAACTTCATTTGAAGTTTCCAACGATTTATCCAAGACCTTCTCAAGTTCCGAAGTGGCAGGTCATTATGCGACTTGGAGCTCAGGAAAATATTTTTAATGAGCCGGCTCTCACCGAAAAGTTGAACTTAATTCCCAAGAAGGCGATAGGATTAATTTTCACACTTCTCTTGGTCGGTTCAGTAAAGTTATACCTTTCCGTTCTCCGATGTTCATCCGCTGAGCTAACGAAGAGCGTTTAGAGACTCTTCTCTATATCATTACGTTCATGCGTGACGCCCTATTTACAAAATATTAAATTCAGTTAAGTAATGCATCCCAGGTTTAAAAGTCCCTTTTTGCGGTCAAAGTTAAGTTTTTATGCAAGTGAACACAATATCAGGGCTATTGAATAATCCATTTTTATTCAAGATAATAACTGTACTGTATCAATCATTTGTTCGTATACCACAAGCGTAGTTTTTACTCATGTTAGGATTTTAATGGAAACTACAAATAAAATGGAAATGCTGCTGAAATGTTGCTCGGCTAAGAAGTTAAAGTTATTTAAAAAACAAACTTCATCAATGGTTTTTCTACCATCAATCTTCGCTCTCCTAAGGTTACGAAGTAGCAGGTTTGCTGGGGCGATACGAGAAAGGTCTGGGACCCTGTAAACTAGCTGTAATAAACCTTCTCTGAATCCTGGCATCCGACGAGCGTAAATTATAGGATTTACAAGTGAGTTACCTAAAAATAGAACTAGCACAGCCATATGAATATGAAAATTTATGAAATAAGTGGAGTAATTGCCAGCCCATCCTGCATATATCATCGCTGGTAGAAAACAAAGTAAAGATACAAGTGAGACGATAAGCGCAGTACCCGTCAGTTTTCTCTCTCTTTTTGATCTAGAATGGAATTGGGGATGACGACTACATCGTACTTTGATAATAATGAGGATGTAAGATACACAGATAACAAATAGAGAAACTGCATAAAATAGGCAATACAAGTAAGTATTAATTACCACTCGATCAACAATTCCCCTTAAGAAAATTTGAACTGCTTCTCTAACAACAGGTATTAACCAAATGGCAATAATTATGGCTCTATAAACCCACTTCCTCACAAAGCGATGCTTGAATGGACAAAACGTTGCGTGTAGCCGCTCTAAGGAAACAGCAATAAGATTTGTAAGGGAAGCGAACGAGAATAAATGTAAAAATACAAAAGATAAATTATGAGGCCAAATAGTCCTTTGTTTGTAATTCCACAGTGGACAAGACCACCCCATTATGTGTTCAATCTGTAGCGGCCCAGAGACTATACCCACTAAGAGATCGACTATCGCCAGATGGATGATCAAATATGTACTCCGCCGCTGTAGCTGACGCTTCTTCTTTACAAAGACAACAATGGTGATGATATTAAGGATGACTATGGCCAGACATTCGATGATGAGGACTACAAGCCATGGAATACACTGCGAAGCTGAGCATAAAGGCTGCACTTTCATTGAGCTCTGTTAGCTGCTATGAAAATAACAGAAAACAGTTCAAGCAAAGATGAAATGAATAATAATTCTCAATAAAGAAAGATGTCAAATATACAGTAGAAAGACCTGCTCCTCTTCTCGGAGCCTTGAAAATTTCAAAGAAAAATTAACTGTAAACACGGCGAAATATAACTAACATTTTTAAAAGCAAACACATCCCTTATGTTTCATTTTCCACACCCAGATGTTTAATCATTGTCTTTTCTCACTTCGGATAAATTTCTTCACTCACGCTTGTTGTAGCATGCTGAGGAAGAATTCAATGCAGACCAAACTTATCAGTATTAGAACTCCAATTTACATTTTCCGAATGATTGACAGATAATAGCTGAAAGAAAAACGGCATTTTTAGTGCAGAAAAACTAGAATTTCAGATTGAAGCATCCGCCTAAACTCCACGATTGTTGATGTGATTAAAGTCCTGTATCGTGGTAAATCCACTTACAGAACAGCTGAAAATAGAGAATCAACATAAGCAAATTAAAGGAGTGGAAATTAATAGTTTCCTAAAAACCTTGAATGGAGCTTTGAAAGCTTTTGATTGCCACGGGAGAAGTTTATATCATTGAAGCAGGCAAGTTTACTGCCTTTGAACAATTTACTACAAATAATAGGTCCATTTGTAATTTGTTTTTTTCTTTTTAAAGGAGTTTGGGTAAACTCGAGAAGTCATAAACTATGGCGGCTCTTGCGGCTAGGTGTAACTTGATTCGCACTGCAAAAGTCAGATGTAGAAATAGGGTTGACAATTTTATAGCGTTTAATCACCAATTCAGATTGTCGGTGACCATAGCCACAGAATTACATTTGCTACCTTTCTTTTGTACTTTGACTCATTTGATGTTCCTTTTTTTTGATACAATACATATCCAGAAGTTTGATAATTCAGCCTCCCTCTCTCTTTTTGGAACGAATTTCTTCTTTTTCCAACTATACAACATTATTTTGATTTACTCTGAATAAGCAAAAGCCTTTATACAAGAAATCTCAATTGCCTTAATCGTTTTATAAGCATCAAAAGAGACAAACTAAAATAAGAAAATTTCCACATAATTGTAAAAGATTGTCGATGGGCGTAAATATGATAACAAAGATGGCAAGAGGGGATCAAGTTGGTAAATGTTGTACTAGGTAATGAAACAAAGAAAGATCTTTTCATCGTCTCGTCACGAACGTGTAACGACGGCTGAGGAGCAACGGGCTTTTCACAAAAGGTTTCAAATTCATCAACCATTTCATAAGCATTAAAAGAAGGAAATAAAACTAAGATTCTAAAATTTCCCACAGACGTGCAAAGGATTTTCCATAACTTCTCTCCACCCATTTTAACTCGCTTTACTTCATCACACCAAAACAAGACTTTGGAAAGGAATTAAATCTTACGAACATACCTGACTGACAACGAAGTACTAGGTGTCCTCTAAAAAATGAGTTAGAGTCAAATTTGACCAAAGGCGGTTTTCCGAATGAATAAGAAAACAACATGCCAAACCCCAAGCAGCCCACGCTCACGTCTCGAGAAAAAGTCAACGATTAATTCATGAACGCGTCACGTGTTGTGCGACTCGGTGTTAAGTTACGAGAGGAACCCTTGAAAATTTGAACATGTTATAAGGAATAGTATAGGGAACGAAATAGAGTCGATTTACAACCATAAATATTTCGAAATATGAACATTTCGTCTTTTGACATGAATAACAATGATGGTAAAGCAAGCTTAAAACGGCAGAAATCGCCAGAAACTACAACGGTACACAGGGTATGAGTAAGTTTTATTGATTTTACGAGAAAAATGTTCATATTTCGAAATATTTATCGTTGTAAATCGACCATATTTCGTTCCCCATACTATTCCTTATAACGCGTTCAAATTTTCAACGGTTCCTCTCGTAACTTAACACAGAGTCACACAACGCGTGACGCGTTCATGAATTAATCGTTGGCTTTTTCTTGAGACGTGAGCTTGGGCCGCCTGTGGCCAAACCTGTACGTCGTTCATTCGAAGAAAGTTCCGTATCTATGTAAACCCAAAGCGCCGGCAAAACGGCTTCGTCTGGAAAGTCGATACCTGAATATCAAATAAATTAAGATGAATAGTTTCTAGAAACGTTGAATGCAGTTTTGAAAGCTTTTGGTGTTTACAGGAGAAGTTATATCACTGAAGAAGGAAATTTAACTGACTGAGAAAACATTTCAAAATTGAAATACGCGGCATTTTTTTAAAATGTTTTTGATTATGGTCCACAAAATTTTTTTTTCCTTCTATAGTCGATTTTTCATTTGGTAATAATTTCTCAATTAAAGGCTTTATTTTCTTGCAAGGTAGGTCATAAGTAAAGGAAACCTATTGGACAGGACTTCATGAGTATCATCATAAGTTCGACAGTCTCATTTTTTTAAACTAATTCAGTTGAAATCTCATATCTTAAGCTAAAAATATTCTCATGAATAAGACATTTATTGACGGCCTCACGTTCTCTATCTCACGGGCGGGATCATAAAGGAAGTAATTAGAGTACCCGTATTTATTTGGCTAGAAGCCGAGCGATTTTCACAAAAAGTTGACGCTAACATTTGGTAAAATCTGAGCCATAGAAAGGGGTTTGGCTTATATTTTTCGACTTATTAGAACAATTATAAATGGGCACGCATTCGCGTATAAGCCGAGAGAAAACAAATAAAATAAACTGAGGGTACAGTATGTTGACACCGTCAGGTGGGCACGGAATAAATCCCAAGCCAACAGCCCTATTTTCTGGCGATTTCAGAGTTGCTTTCGACGGCTTCCGCTTCTGCAACAATTTTAAGCTTGAGCGAGAGGTTGTCCGATGTACGACGAGCTTTTAGCATGATCACGGATTAACGAGCATTGTGTTCTAAAATAGGTCTGGGCTTGTAGCCGAATGTTTTGGTTTAAATTTCGTGATGATGCCGCCGCTCAGTTAACAAATTGGAAGTATGGGGTCTCGGCTTATAGCCGGGATCGGCTTCTAGCCAAATAAATACGATATGTTAATTTGAGTGCAGCTGAATCAAAATTTTGGATAGAAGCATACACCTGTATTGCGTTCATTTGGACCGAGTCCCTTACTTTATCATGGTCAAACTGCAAAATACTATAGATGAGCTATTTCCTAGATCATAGAGTTGAATTTTTTAGAAGCTGTTGGTTTGTACCTAAGAATATATAATATTAAACTGGGAAAAATGATCCATGCGACAAAACTTTAGGAAATAAAATAACACGGTGACATTTATTTCTTTGGATCTACCTTTACATTTGTATTTAATGTAACTCAAACTCCGTTGGAAATAGGTAGTATTCTCTCCTCGTGATGATTTCCATTTTTTGATACTTACCTTTTGAAAACTCGACGTTCTGTCTTTTCCCGCAACAATAAAAACAACAAATATTTATAAGTTGGTTATCAGCTACACAAAGTGGTGGTTCTAATGCCTCTAATGGCAATCAACAGTAGTTATGAGTTTATTTTTGAGAAACTCTCGTGAGTTTCCCATTCTATCTAAATTCTCTCTTAGTTATCTGTGCAGTTGCTGGTTAGATTAATTCACACATCATAATCGATTTTTTTTCGTTCCACTCAAAGAGAAAGAAGACTGACCGGAAGCTCACTAATCGTTTTATACTTGTATCGTCGTTTTGTTTTCTGGAAGCGACAAAATGCATGCATTGCTTTTCATTTTAATCATTTAGATACTTGTATCGTTTCTATCCTTGATCAACTCTTGTATGCGTCTTCTCGTCTACGCTCAGCCAGGATTCAATTCAGAGACTGGAGCGTATCACGGATCGTAGATCATATAAAATCAAAGCATAGGGTTTTAAGGTGTTTAGGTACCTGTATAGTCTTTGTTTTGTTTGACACGATTTTGTCCCGGAGTTTTTGCGTTCGGGTAGTTAGTTATCAGTAATAAAAACAATTTGATAAGAGGTCGTCTGCCCATGCAGGATGACGCGAATAACTTTGGAATGAAACCTGCTTTAAAAATAACTGTAATGTAAAAACAGCCGTCCATATTTATATTGAAGGCAAACCTAAATATTCATCGACTTGGAACCTTAATAGCGAGTTTAAAGTAATTTTATTATCAGTTTCTTTTTTTGTTTCACCGATAACAAAAGTGTTTCTATCCTTAACTGAGTTTAAGTCAAATGCGGAGAGGGTGGTTTTCAAATAGAAAAGAAAGCAGCGTGCTGAGGAGGAGGGCAATGCAAAGTTAACTTATCACTATTAGAACTCCAATTCAGTTTTTCCGAATGATTGACAGATAATAGCTGAAAGGGAAACGGCGTTTTTAGTGAAGCTAATTAAGAATCAGAGATAAGAGCATCCACTCCACGATTGTTATCGTAAGAAAAAAATCCATCTTCAAAACAGCTTAAAATAGAGAATCAACATAAGCACATCAAAGAAGTGGAAATGAATAGTTTCTAAAATCCTCGAATAGAGGTTTAAAGCTTTTTGTTTTTACGGGAGATGTTATATCATTGAAGCAGGCAAGTTTACTGGCTTTGAACAATTTGTTAGAAATAAGAGGTCCATTAGTAATTTGTTTTCCTTTTTAAAGGAGTTTGGGTAAACTCGAGAAGTGATAAACTATGGCGACAAGGTCTAACTTGACACGCACTACGAAAGTCAGATGTAGAAATAGAGTTGACGATTTTATCGCGATTAATCACCAAGATTGTCGGTGACCATAACAAAAGGATTACATTTGCTACCTTTCTTTTGTAGTTTGACTCATGTTCGTGTTCCGTTTTTTTGATGCAATACATATCCAGAAGTTTGATAATTCAGCCTCCCTCTCTCTTTTTGGAACGAATTTCTTCTTTTTCCAACAATGCAATATTCTTTTGATATACTCTGAATAAGCAAAAGCCTTTATACAAGAGATCTCGATTACATTAATCGTTTTAGAAACATCAAAAGAAACAAACTAAAATAGGAAAATTTCCACATACTTGTAAAAGATTGTCCATGGGCGTAAATGTGATAACAAAGATGGCAAGAGGGGATCAAGATGGTAAATGTTGCACTCGGTAACGAAACAAAGAAAGATCTTTTCATCGTCTCGTCACGAACATGTAACGACGGC